TACTCCCTCTTTATTCAAATGTTTTTTTTCTCTGGATTTCTGAAACACCATGCTCCCAAGTTTTTATCTACTATCTGCTGTTTTCCAATATCCCTGTCTCGTCATTTCTTCTCTACCAGACCTTTGAGTAACCTAGTATTCTGTCTTCTACTTTTCCCTCTCTATTTCTTTTTTCTATATTCTCTCCTTATGTGGGTGCATCAATTTCTAAAACTTCAAATATCTTCAGTGGGCTTTTGGTTCTCCCATTTATGTCTGTAGCCTGAAATAACTCCCTTCAGTTCTAGTTTTACATATCCAAATGTGTGATGAGTATTTCCAATTGGAATTTTAATAGGAATCTCAAACATAACAAAATCAAAACATAATAATTGATTCCTACTGCCTGAAATCTTGGCTCCCAAGTTTCCTTCCCAATAAGTAGTACTACAAACATCTAAGGCTCAGGCCAAAATCCTTTCCATGTGTTTAGGAATCCTGTTTGATTCCTTCATGAATGTCTCATATCTGCCAATGAGTTCTCTTGGCTGTACCTTCAAAATAGGTCACCCATTCACTTCTCACTCTTGCTGTTGTTATAATCCCCATCCAAGTTACCATGGTCATGTATTTAGTCTTATACCAGTGCATCAACTTCCAAATAGTCTTCTTGCCTTTATTTTTCCCTCAAATATAGCCTTTTCTTCATAGAGCTTCCAGAACAGGCTTTGTGAAATAGAAATTAACTGATGTTTGAAACTCAGTGGTGATTCCCCATAACTCTAAGAATAACATTCATACTTCTTACTTGGACCAACATAATCTGGTTCCTGCCTAATTCTCTGACCTTTTCTCTTCCTCCTCTCCCTGTTCTTCAGTATGTCCAGTCACACTGTTTTTTTCTGTTACTAGAACATGACAAACATGGTCCTGTTTCATGACCTTTCATGATATCTACTCCGGTTGCTCTTTTTGCCATGCTCATCTTTGCATGGAAAATTGCTTCCCATCATTCAAGTTTCAACTTCTCATGGAAGCTTATTATTATTGTTTTTTTTAAATATTTTACTTTTGTTGTTGAGAATGTACCTAGCAAAAACATAGAGCGATTCCACTTTCTACATGTACATTTCAGTGACATTGATTACATTCTTCCAGTTGTGTAACCATTTGCATCTTCCTTTTCTGAGCTGTTTTTTCATTAGCATGAACTCTTTGCCACTTAAGGCTCCTCTCTAATCTTTTGTGTTGCTGTTATCAGTTTGATTCCATAGAGATAGGTCTCAAAAGAGCATAATGGTCAAGGCAGACATTCTTTATTACCAAAACCAACCAAACTCACAGCCATGGAGTCAGATCCGACTCATCGCGACCCCTCCTTGGGTTTCTGAGGCGGTATCACTATGGAAGTAGATTGCCCAAACTTCCTTCCGAGGAGTAGCTGATGGGTTTGAACTACCAGCCTTCTGGTTAGCAGTCAAAAGCCTTAGGTACTATGCTACCAGATCTCCTACATTAGTTAAGCTAATTTATTGTTTGGTTTTAAGAAAACTTCAGGGTGTATTTTGAGTTTAAGGTTTAAAGGTTATCTCAGGGCAGTAGTTTCAAGGGTATATCCTGTCTCCATGGCACCAGAAAGTCTAGATTCCATGAAAATTTGAAATTTTGTTTTGCGTTTTCCCTCAGGGAGGCTTATTTTGATTTTCCTTGCTAGAGCAGCCTCCCAATTTTCTCTACTACATTACCCTCTTTTATCATCTTCATATCATTGACCAGTGACTGAATGTATCATGCTTGTTCCTCTGTTTTTAATCAGACTTCTTTCCCTGGACTATAAACTCTTTGAGGGTAGAGACTCTTTTCACAGCCATATTCCTAGTACCTAGAACAGCACCTGGCTTAGAGTAAGTTCTCCTTGTGTTTTAGTTGTTGACTGGCTGATTGACATCTTTAAATAGAACTGCCTTTTGACAATATTAAATAAGATGTACTAACATAAAACTGACTGAGTTCAGAAATAATTGAGTAAGAAGCTACTCTGTTCTTTGGAGAAGGGACATTCCTGTTTTGGGGAGAGGATTTATCAAAAGGTTATGCAATTTTGTGGCATTTTGGGGTATTCACAGGATTCCTATCGACTGCAATTACTGGATCTCAAAGTGTAATATTCAGTTTATGGTAAAAGTCAGTACATTCCAACATTGAGAAAATTCCAGACAGACTAGAATGATTTGCCTTATTTATTGCTGAAGTTCTTCTTGAGAGGTCTTTTACTGAAATATCTTGCGTGGTCTAATGACTGGAAGGTGGCTGTATAGAGGATTGAGCCAGGATGCAAAGGCTTTTCCTGGCATAAATAGTCCTGTCTTTAGTCTTTTGCTTTTTTTTTTTTTTTTAAAAGCACAATTGCTGTATTTTTATCATTAGCTAACAGACATCCATTTTTTTTCTTATTTGCATAATACTTTGTTCATAGTATTGCATAGTCTTTCACAGCTCAACATTCTTTCTATAAATATTTGTTGAGTGTCTTATATGTACCAGACACTGTAATAAGTGCTGGGGATATGCTATGAATAACATAAATATTTGTCAGATAAATCAGTGACTTTCTTAAAGCTTATTTGAGAAGATCAGTATGACAGAGTGGTGGAGGGTGATAGGTCAAAGTACCATGTTCATGTGGTCCTGCTCATGATCCCTTTATTCTCCATCTCTCTACCTAAATACCTGCTTGTACAATGTCTAGTATTCTGTGGCTTTTTGAAAGGCAGCTCTTTGCCTATCACTGTGTCAGACCCTGGATGTTCAGAGAACAGCAGATAAAAAATGTTGTTTTCAGTATCTCTTAGTAATAAAGACTGGCTGGAAGAATGAATTATTTCAATACAGAATTATAAGATGCAATAATAGTCTGTACACAGTTTACTGTTGGAGCACAGGGAAGAAACATCTATCCAAGCCTCAGCGTGAAACTACAAGGTGAATAGGAAGTAGTTATTCAGGTGGATAGGAAGGTGATGAATGAAAGTTGTTGCTCTCTGAAGAAAATAAAAGTATTCAAGGCAGATGGAATAGCACAACCTTAAGAATTCCAAAGGTCTCTGAGTGGTAAGTGGTTTACTTATGGCTACTAACCTAAAGTTTGGTGATTCAAAACTATCTAGCAGTGCAGTTGAAGAAAGTCTTGATGATTTGCTTGGGTTACACCCAAGAAAAGCCTATGGAGCACAGTTCTGTTCTGTAACACGAAGGGTCGCCATGAGTCAGAATCAATCGAACAGTAATAGTTTTCGTTTTGGTTTAGGAATTCCATATGGTTTGGTGAGACTAGAGGGTCAGGTGAATGTAGCGAGCAAAGGATATTGAAGTTGGGAAGGTAGGGGGCTAGGTCTGGATAGGCTTTGAATACCCACTGGAAATCATTGAGAGATGGAAAGAAGAGTGCTTTGATCTGACTGGTATCACAGAAATACTTTGCAGGGGGTATTTTGGGGATTTGGAAGGAACTCAGGGGAGTTAAGGGGAAGCTCTGGTGGTGTAGTGCTTATAGTACTTGACTGCTAACCAGAAGGTTAAAGGTTTGAACCCACTAGCCACTCCTCAGAAGGAAGGTTGGGCAGTCTACTTCCGTAGTGATATACTGCCTTGGAAATCCAAGGAGGGGTCGCTATGAGTAAGAGATGACTCGATGGCATATAACAGTAAGGACAACAAGAGGAGTTAAGGGAATACTCAACTTTTCTGAGTTTGATCAGGGAAGTGACACAATCAAAGCTATGTTTTTTTTTCCTTTATTTTATTTTATTTTTCTTTGTTCTTGAGAGAATATACAGAGCAGAATATGCACCAATTTAAAAATTTTTACATGTACAATTCAGTAATGTTGATTACATTCTTTGAGTTGTGCAATCATTTTCACCCTCCTTTTCTGAATTGTTCCTTCCCACTAACATAAACTCATAGTCCTCTAAGTTTCTCAAAGCTATGTTTTATAGAAAGATGCTTGATGCTGAGTGGGAACATAGACTGGGTGTTGGGAGGTGAAATGGAAGCAGCAAGACAAGTTAGGTGGAGTCAAAATATTTAGCTGGTACATAGTATAATACTGAGAAGCTTCCCTTGCCTTTTATTATTTCAGAACTTTTTGATCCTGCCTCTTCTAAAATGATTTTATTATTTGTGTGATAGTAAAACGTTGGAGGAAAAAAGTTTTTGCCAAGTTACCAGAAGCTGTGGCATGCCTGTCCCTCTGTCCTATCTCTCTCACTTGAAGCGTCCTTTCCATGTAGAGAGGGCGCACATGGAAGTGTATATGTCGTCAAAGTTCTCTTTGTCTCTTGACCTTAGCTTGTGTTTTTATTGAAATACTACTAAAGGTGTTACAGTGTTCAATTTTGGTTTTCCTTTCATTGTGGAATTCAACGTAAAATGTTTTTTTTTTTTTTTCAGGCAACTAAAGTTGTTATCGCATTAAGCACATTTAGTAATTTATACATTAATCATTATCAGTAATTCTGGTGTTTTTGAGATATTTGTCATATTGTTAATGAATATGTAACAATATTTAATGAAATTTGTGAGAGGAATGAAAAACTCTCTAGGGTAAGTGATTAACCTTTTGAAGGCAGACAAGTTATATTTTTAATAACTTCTCAAACTGGAGCATATTTAGCATATTATAATACCTATTGACACATAATCTAAAAATTTCATATTTAGAAATAAGATGAGGCTGCTTTCACGTTAGCTTTTGGAAATTAGTAAATAGTATTCTCAAATACTGAAAATGAAGAAAATTTGTATCCTTTATGCTTTAAATAAAAAAGGTATACCATAGGTTGGACATTTTTATATGTGTTTCTCAGGTATGTTTCCTATATTTTAGCAGTTACCTACTATATTGTAATTGCCTGTTTGACTCTATTCAGTGCCTGCCTTTCCCCTCCCTCCACAGTTACTAATTTTTATAAATGCTTAAATGTGGTACTTACTTTCTTTTTTGAATTTTTTTTAAATAGAAAATGCATCAGATGCAGATTTATGGCTCCTGAATAGTTGTACTGTAAAAAACCCAGCTGAAGACCACTTTAGGAACTCAATTAAGTAAGTGGAAGTTGTTGATTTTTTTTTTTTTTGTCTAATTTGTTTGATTGAAATAAAAATTAATATCAGGAAATTAACTTTTAAAAGCTTCCTAATGGGAGCTCTGGTAGCGTAGTGCCTAAGGCACTTGACTGCTAACCAGAAGGCTGTTGGTTCAAACCCACCAGCCACCCCTCAGAAGGAAGATTGGGCAACCTATTTCTGTAGTGATACTGCCTTGGCAACCCAAGGAGGGGTCGCTATGAGTCAGATTTGACTCGACAGCACATAACAACAACAACAACAATATCAATATAAATCTATAGTATATGTCAGAAGAAGAAAGTATGATGGACTTTTATTGTTAAACTGTTTTGAAATTATCAGATAAAGAATCAAACTTTAATGTCCTTTAATGTGGGCTTTTAAAAATAGGTGATTTGAGTATTTGTGAAGTTAGCCAGTAGGCAATTTGAATACTTAAGTATTAACTGGGGGAATCCAGTCATACTTTAAAATTGCCAGAAGCAGTTCAAACCTCTTTTCTCTTCCCTGACTGTTTAGCACTTTCTAGCTGTTACCATGCTTGGCCTTCCAGGGAATTACAGTTTGTTGGGGCATGTAGACACGTATGCCCTTGCTTTTTTCTTTGTCACTTCAAGTTAAAGTGGAAAAAGTATCCTTTTTTCCATCTGTACCCTGAATCTTATTTCCACCCACCTTTTTAGTAACCTCCTTCAAGATATGATTTCCTATATTTTCAGTCTCTCCAACTCAATTGGACATTTTTCATTGGTCTTTAAAGACATTCACGTCCAATGTACCCCAGTACCCCTTTTAGCAAGTGTCCCATTTTCCTTCTTGCTTTTCCATCCAGACTTCTTAAGATTCTCCACTTCCTAACTTCACACTGATGCTTATTCTCTCCCCTTCATTGGTTTTATTGTGAAATATATCATACATACGTAAGATTTCATGAGGCATGTACAGTTTAAGAAAAAATAATAATCCATTACTCACTATAACATTGTTAAGACTATAGAAACCCCCATGTTTCTCTCTTTTAATTATATATCAATTATAATTTCAAGAAGTCATCCCTAGCCTGACTTTTGTGAGTCATTCCTTTACTTTTCTTAATAAATTATCTATTAAATTTATCTTTAAACTATATTGTTTAGCTTTGACCTTTTTTGGACTTTATTGGGTTTAAACTGTTTGTGTTTTCAGCTTAGCTTTTCCTCACCATTTTCTTTATATTTATCCATGTTGATACATGTAAAATAACTGTGGCTATTCATAGTATTTTATGGAATGATTTGGCACAACTTATCTGTTTTATTATTGACAGAGTATTGAGTTTTTTCACAGTGTCTTGCTTTCATGAACAGTCCTATGAATATTAAGAGTTATGTTAGGAAATGTTACTATGTGCCATCGAGCTGATTCTGAGTCAAACTCACCCTATAGGACAAAAGCACCTTTTTCCTAGGACCAGATTTTACAGGACCAGATTGCCATGTCTGCTCTCCCAAGGAGTGGCTGGTGGGTTTGAATTGCTGACCTTTTGGTTAGCTGAGCACTCAACCATAGGCCATCAGGGCTTCTGTTCTATACACTAATTCTGTTCTATACACTAGTTCAAAATATACAGAGATATTTTGGTTTAGCATTTATTCATCTTTTTCTGTTTGATTTGTTTGATATTCTCCTCTAAAAGTTTCATGGTTTTACATGTTACATGTAGGTCTGTAATCCATCTAGACTTGATTTTTCTGTATAGTAACAGTAATGATATCCTATTTTACTTTTTCCATGTTGCCCAATTGTTTCAGTATCTTTTATTGTTTTATTTTATAAAAAAATCTATTCTTTCTCCTTTTATCTGTTCATTACCAATTCTGTCACGTGTTAAGTTTCCATAGATGTTTTGCTCTGCTGCTAACCAGAAGGTTGGCACTTTGAATCCACCCATTGGCTTCACGAGAGAAAGACTGGCAATTTGCTTTCATAAAGAATACAGCCAGGAAAACTCTATGAGTTAGTCCTACACAGGGTCATTATAAGTAGAAATCGACTTGATGGTACCCAACAACAGCTGGGCTCTCTATTTGGTTTCATTAATCTATTTCTTTATTTTGGTGATTTATTCTACACAGTTATAATTACTCTAGATTTATATTAAGTTTAGATATTTGATAGTGCTAATGTGCTTTGTTTTTCTTTAAGAGTGTCATGTCTAGTCTTGGCTCTTTGCCATTCCATATAAATTTTAGCATCAGTTTTCAAGTTCCACAATAGTTCTATTGTTACTTGATTGAGATTGCATTGAATCTCCAGATAAAGTTGGGAAAAATTGACATCTTTACAATTTTGAGTTTTCTAATCCGGAAATTACTGCTGGTCTTCTTTATTATCTTTCTACAGGTTTATAATTTTCTTCTTATAGATCTTGTGCATCTTTTAGATTTTTTCCCTAACAATATAGTTACCAAATTGTTCCAGTATCATTTATTGTTTTTTTCTTTTTAATCTACTCTTTTGTTGTTACCTATATAGTAAGTTTTTTATGTTGTTTTTAATAAGTTTTTGTTGTTGATAATATGAACAACAGAACATACAGTAATTCAACAATTTCTACATGTACAGTTCAGTGACACTGATTACATTTTTTGGTTATACAGTCATTCTCACCCTTCATTTTCAAGTTTTTTTCTCTACAATTATCGTAATCTAAGGCTTCAGACTGGTTCATTCTAGTTCAACACCCTGTTGAAAAATTGTATTTCTGCCCCTATATGCTATAATTAATCGGAATCTACATTTTTAACAAGATCCCCAGGGGATTCCTATAGATTCCCCAGGCAATCTCATTAAAATGTAGATTGTAATTTCAGTATAGCTGGTATGGAAATGAAGATTATCAGGAGGTTGAACTGGGATGAACCAGTTTGAAGCCCTGACATAAGCTCACAGCCCCCTGAGTTTCCTGTGTCGTCTTTTGAGTTGCTGTTGTCAATTTGATCCCACATGGATAGATCTTAAAAGAGCACAATGCTCAAGGCAGACACTCTTTCTTTACTTGTGAAGCTAAACAATTGCTTGGTTTTCAGAAGACTTAAGGGGATATTTTTGGTTTAAGGTTTAAAGATTATCTCAGGGTAAATATTTTCAGAGGCTCATCTAGCCTCCATGGCTCTAGGAAGTCTAGATTACATGAGAATTTGAAATTGTTATCTACATTTTCACTCTTTTTGATCAGGATTCTTCTATAAAATCTTTGATCAAAATGTTCAGTGATGGTAGCTGGACACCATGCAGTGCTTCTGGTCTCATGGCAGAGTGGGAAGTTATTCATGGAGGCAGTTAGACACACATTCCATTTCCTCCCTGTATTTCTGACTACCCTTGTTCCTTTGTTGCTCCAGGCTTTTTTAGAGAACATTTATTGTGCTTTGGATGCCAGTTGTAAACTTCTAAAGTCACAGACACTACACAATGAACTGGAAGGTAGAACAGAAACACTAAACACATAAACAGAAGCACTAAACACATTCTTCAGTCATAACTGGGATGCCCTGTGAAACCGTGACCCTAAACTTCCAAACCAGAGAACCAAATCTCATGAGATGTTTGATTGTATATAATCAGCCTTTATGGCTATACTTTTTTTTTTTTTTTCCATCGTTGTTGTAAATATATTTGTCACCCAGCTTTTGCTAATTCAACTCTTTACAGGTGTGTAATTTATTGACAGCATTTACACTAATTGACTGTGTAACCTTACCCTTAATCAATGTAATTTTTCCATCACTTTAAGCTGAAACTCAATACTCCATAAGCAGTAACCTCCCTCTCTCTCTCTTTACCTGGTAACCACTAACAAACTTTTATCTCTGTGTATTTACCTGTTCCTATATTTTTATATAAATGAGATCATAAAATATTTATCCTTTTGTGATTGACTTATTTCACTCAGCACAATGTCTACAAGCTCCATCCATATTGTGGCATGTATCAAGAAAGTATTTTATATCTTCATGCCCTGGTGGCACAGGGGATAAGTGGTTGAATGGGACCCAAGAGGTTGATAGTTTGAACCCACCAGCAATTCAGTGGAAAAAGATTCAGCAGTCTTATTCTGTTAAGATTTACAGCCTTGGAAACTTGATAGGGCAGTTCTACTGTCTCCTAAAGTTTTACTATGAGTTGGAGTTGACTCAATGATAGCAGATTTGTTTTTTGGTTCTGATATGCTACTATAAATGTTGTTGTTGTTATGTGCTGTCAAGTCGGACCCGACTCATAGCGACCCCTCCTTGGCTTTCCGAGGCAGTATATCTATGGAAGTAGATTGCCCCATCTTCCTTCTGAGGAGTGGCTGGTGGGTTTGAACCGCCAGCCTTCTGGTTAGCAGTCAAGTGCCTTAGCCACTATGTTTTATTTAAACTTTTATTTTCTATGTTTGCTCCCATGGTCTCGAATTAATTCTAGCAGCAATGTGAAAGATGGTTGAGAGAAAGGAAGAATATCAGGAGTCTAGTTAGGACAGAGTGGCTATATTTCAGGTACTGATGACCTTATCTAAAGTGGAGGAATTCAGAGTTTGAAAGAAGGAGTTGACTGGGGAAGGAAGTTGTCTTTATACTTTATTGACTTCAGGGTCTCTGGTTGGAAAAAAGTAGGGAATTGCAGGAGGAGAGGTCAGTCTTAGGGAAAGATATGTTTTGGTTTTGAACATGCTGTATTTGAAGTCACAGCTAAATCTTTCAATAAGTTAATGAATATATTTGACATTTACTGAGTATCTCCCATGTGCCAGGCACTGTTCTAATGCTTTACATACATTGGATATTATCCAGTTTAATTCTTGCAGCCCATCAGTGAGTTGTAGATTTCATTTTTCATTCCTGTTTTATAGATGAGGCAGCTAGGGCAGAGATGGGTTAAGAAAGTTTTCTAAAACATAAATAATGGAGGTGGGATTTTAACCTTGTCAACCTGACTAGAGTTTATTTGTG